CGTCCTGTCTCTGATTCACCCCTTTGTTGATCACATTTTTAAAACGTCGCTCGCAAACGATCCTAGACTAAGGGGCTGCATGCTGGCATTTACGCCGCGACGGCGGCGGGTTACTACCGGCCTCCCGGCGTTCACCATGGGCGTTGAAGGTCAAAATGGCCCTTCGCACAGCCGGCTTTCGACTTTGTTCATCTCGCCGGCCCTTTGATAAAACGACGAGCACAACGGTGTTTGCCAACGGGGAACGGGGCCATGTAGCGCAGCGTGGGGCCTGTTGTGGCGCACATACCTGCGAGCGTGACGTCACGGGTGGCAGCTTGCGATGGTGTTTGCCAATGGGTGATGATGATTGGGGTTTTAGGGCGCGTCGACTTCTAGGGTCATTTTGCGCCCATAACAGCTAAGTGTTTACCGTGGCGTATAAATGGCTGTGAATCCTACGCTTCTCAAAAATGAAAACAGCTGTCCGGTGCCAAGCATGCGAGAATCGTCACCAATAAGGTCTGAAAAGGTAAGACCTGACGCATCTCGTCCGAAGTAAAGTGCCCGCTCTTCTCTGAACTGTGGGCAGGAGTGAATAACGTGGCGAACCGTAAGTGACGCACCACAGCGAGGACATTTAGGGCGTTCTTCACCGCACAAAAGGTAGCTGTGTGTTGTGTGCGTGTGGCCAATTCGTAACCTGCTGAGGGTTACTTCTTCGTGTCTCAGCTTACGTGAGCTTGAAGACCATAGACCCAGTTGTGGCTTGATCATCTTTAACTTATTGTTTAGAATGGCGTCCCAGCAGCGCTGCCATTTCGCCTTCACAAAGGTCGCGATTGCAGGGTAAAAGTCCCTTGCCGGCAAGGGTAAAGAACGGGTGCAAGGTGCACGCGCTGCCCGTTTTGCGGCCGCGTCAGCACGCTCGTTACCTGCGATACCCACATGACTCGGTATCCAACATAAGACGACAGTTTTACCAGCAAGATCCAGCGCTGTCAGGCGAACTAAAATATCCTGTATAATGGAACAAGGTGGGTTATAGGTTGTCAGAGCCAACAGGCTGCTCAAAGAATCGGATAAGACCACGTGTGAGTTGCTCTCACCAACTTCGATGAAGCATAGGGCTTTACTGATTGCAACGAGCTCGGACGTGTAAACTGAGGCGTGTTTCGGTAAAAAAAGGACCGGGTGGCTTGGTCATTCACAAATGCAGCACCAACACCTACCTCCGTCTTCGACCCATCAGTATATGTGGCTTGAAAACCTATGTACGACCCGATGTGCTCCAGAGCCTTCGATCTCAGGTCGCATGGGATCGCTCCCTGTTTGCTTGTGCATGCAAGGGATACATCCACTTTTGGTGAGATTAGCTCCCATGGAGGCACTAATACGGGACGCGACCTCAGCACACCACGCAACCTTATGTCGCTTTCCCGGAATAGCTTCTTCATGTGGACACCAAATGGAATAGCGGACAGCCTTCCGCTACTTTGGAACTTGCTTTCCACATCACGTGAAAAGATTGCTCGGTGAGTCGGATGGTTGGGAAATTGAGCCAGCTTGCAAAAGTACCGCATGCCAAGCATTTCCCTTCTCAGTGCCAACGCCGGTTCATTAACTTCCACGGTAAGGCTAGCAACTGGCGACGTCCTGAATGCCCCCGTCACAATGCGTAATGCGGTATGGTGCACGGTGTCTAATAAACGTTTGCAGGAACTCGGCGCACGGTCATAAATAAAACAGCCATAGTCAAGTTTTGAACGTATAAGTGAGCGGTATAGCAGTAGCAGTGTTCTTCTGTCCGCTCCATAAGATGTTCGAGACACGTACTTCAATATGTTCAATGCTTTAAAACAGTTGTCACGTAGGGTTTTCAAATGTGACCCATACGATAAACGGTTATCAAACTGCAGACCCAAGAAGCGGGTACTGGGTTCGTTTGGGATGGTCTGGCCGTATAGCCTTAAAGCCATAGCGGGGCATTGACGACGTCGTCTGCAAAAGTGCATAGCAACTGTTTTCGAGGTCGAGAAACGTAGTCCGTTTATAACGCTCCATCTTTCCAGGCTGATCACAGCCAACTGCAAGCGACGTTCCAAAGAGGCAAAGTTTGACGAGGCATACCAGATGGCGACGTCATCCACGAAGAGAGAGCGGCTGACCGACTTTGGAAGGGAGTCACCAATATCGTTAATCATAACCGCGAACAGAGCGACGCTCAAAACGCTACCCTGGGGCACGCCATTGTCTTGTTGGTACCTATCCGAGAAGTGTGAGCCAACACGAACTCTGACAGAACGATCGGTCACAAAGTTCGCTAAGGACGTGCCCATGGCTCCTCGAATGCCATAATGAAAGAGCTTTTTCAGGATGCCGTAACGCCACGTCGTATCATAAGCTTTTTCAACATAAAAAAACACAGCGCCAACATGTCGCTTTTCCCTAAAACTGGTGCGAATGTCTGTGTCGAGAGCTATGAGATGGTCAATGGTACTGCGATTTTTTCTGAATCCACATTGAGCAGCCGTAAAAACGTTGTACCGCTCCAAAAACCACGACAAACGCACATTTACCATACGTTCCATCAACTTACAAACGCATGATGTCAGTGAGATAGGGCGATAGTCAGCAGGGTCAGCCCCACTCTTACCAGGCTTGAGCATAGGGACAATATGTGACTCACGCCACGACTCCGGAAAACCTCCATTCTCCTAGAGATTGTTGTACGCCGCTAAGAGGGCCTCAACTACTGAAGTGGGAAGTTGCTTAAGCATGGCGTTGTGAACTAGATCTGGACCCTCTGCCACATTGCGCAGCGATCCGATCGCAGAAACTAGTTCGGCCATTGTAAAAGGTCGGTTATACGACATCTGCTCCGTCGTGCTGAAGTCGACAGGGGATGCCTCGCAGCGGATCCGGTGACGCATAAACTGCGGGACGGCATTGCCGTTACCACACCGTTCGGAGAATGCGCGGGCGATTTCATTTGCTACGTCAGCTGGGTGTATAATGTCACGTCCATTGATACGGAGCACAGGGTGTGGCACAGACGAGTGCTGTCCAGCAATGCGTTTGATCCGTGACCATATATTGGATACAGGTGTTTGGCAGTTTAGATGGCCGACGTACGATCGCCACGATGCCCGCTTAGCCTCTAGAATGGTACGTCTAGCAGCCGCTCATGCTCGTCGAAATGCAATAAGATTCTCAGTGGTACTCCGACGGTCAAACTTTCTAAGGGCCCTCCTACGTGCACAGATTGCGTCCCGGCACCGCTGCGTCCACCATGGGACAGGAGGACGACGAGGGCAGCCCGACGTTCGCGGTAAGCACCCTTCTGCAGACCGCAAAATCAGCGATGTCAAATCCCCTACCGACGAGGGTTCACCCGCTGGCTGCATAGTAAGGGAATGCCCGATCCTTGCTTGAAAGTCAGTCCAGTCGGCTTTTCTAAAATTCCAGCGCTGTGGCCGAGAACCAAGAAAAACGTCAGCCCGGTACTTGATCCAGATGGGGAAGTGGTCACTTCCCATTGGATCGTCTGACACCGACCAGTCAAAATGGTTGATCAGTTGTGGACTCAAAAGACTTAAGTCGATTGCTGATGCCTGTCCTGATGGGAGTGTAAAATGAGTACGAGTGCCCGTGTTTAAGAGGCACAACGATTCTTCATGTATGAGGGCTTCGCAGCGTTTCCCGCGAGTGTTTGTCTTGACACAACCCCACGCTGA